CCTTTTCATTTTCCTACTCAAGAGTAAGCGTTTTTTCAGGACTGAAGAAAAATTATTATCAATTTTGAGATGCTACTATCCTACTTCCTCCCGAAAATTTCAGATATTTGCTTATATTTTCAATCTTGGCTTCATTTAAATTCGTATAATATATATTAACTTGATAATAATATAACTATCTACTATTTTGCATTCCAGATATTTCTTGCAAATAAGACTTACAGGATTCCTAATGTTGGCTTAATCCGAAACTTCTTTTTCAACAATTATAATAAACAAATCCTAGTCTGCATTCAAGATCTTCCTTTACATATTTCCTTTTGAGATGATGATTATAAGAATATGTTATGATCTGTTACATTTTATAGTGTACGCACGGATACTTCCATAATTGCTTTTCGTCTTCCTCTCTCACTATTATAATCATTCTATCATCGTTTTTTTTACTTAATCAGTATAAAAATTTCTAAAACTTTAAGAATGTCATTTAGCAGTGCAAAATATACGATGCGATTGGTTATTTGGCTCCAAGAATTGAAATGAAAGTGTTAGCTAGTAAGCAATTAAGCAAAATGTAATTATGATATCAAGACAACCACGACTAAAAAATTTTACTATGATTTTTTGAGAATTTGTCCACTTCTCGAAATATTTATAAAATCCAACTTGGAACATAATGAAATTTTATATCTTCTATGAAATAATAGATGAATGAAAGGTTAAGTAATAGTGGAATTTATTAAGGCATTCAATTGATAACTGCCAAGTGATAATATTGCAATATAAGAAAAAGGATGACAGAAAATATCAAGCCTAATGTACATTATGCTTTATAGGAGAGAATGAGAAGGTGTTATTGGGGAATGAGTGTGGTAGTAGGATTTTACTAACTACTATTGATCATTGGAGATGTGGAATAGGAAGTGAAATGTAAAGAAATGTGCTAAGGCCTAACACATGGCAGGTAAACACAGCCACAAAGAAGAGAAGGAACACTGCTACACCATAAATATTACTATCAATTATTTAAGAAGATTAGAAAATAAGAAAGAGTTGGAAGTACAATTCAACAACAACAGCAACAACAACAACAACAACAACAACAACAACAACAACAACAACAGTATTTCGTTCGGCTAATGGGTCAGCAGACGAAATAAATCGGAGTAACTTGCAGATAAGAAGACGAATGGTATGGATAACTGTGTAAAAATAGAAGGCTGTTGCTGAAGTTGAGGTATTTCATCTGAATTCCTTCCATAAAATTTCTCACAGACAAAAAGTCCGTAATGAAGTAATAGAAGAGAAACGATGGAAGGCCTTTTCACATTCTATCGGCGTCTGCTAAGCAGAGATGAGTGTGTATGTATGTGTGTAGGAAAAGGAATTACATTCATTCATTCAAGCTTAGACATTAGAAACTGTCTATGTCTGTGTGTGTGTGTGTATGTGTGTGTGTGTGTGTGTTTGTGTCTATGTATGTGTGTGGGATGTTTGAAGGGGAACGCCCATATGAGCATAGAGAAAGATAGGAGAAGTGGGAGGAAGAAGTGTATGGATATCTCGAGAGCTTTATACACCACCGATCGAATTAGCAATGAAATACGGGATTGACGGATCAAACAACAGATAGCTTTCTGTCGTAAAAAAAAGAAAAAAACGGAAGCATTGATTAGGAAGGAGGTTGAGGAATAAAAAGATTGGTGATGGAGGAGGAATCAGGCTTGCGATTCATCGTATTCACCTTCATTTTCCGCCTTCCGGAAATTTATTTATCCAATTCAACTCTATCATCCCACACTTCAACAAACAATTTCAAGCTCTAAACAAATACGAAATGAAATGATTTGTGTTTCTTGTTATTGTATATTACACTATGGAATAACATTCCTCCATATGACTCATTATTATAAATAATAAAACGACAAATGTAATATGATGTTGATAATGATAATAATAATAATGATGATGATGATGATGATGATAAAACAACACATATAAGACAAAATTTCATTCTAGGCTTCAATAAATAGCTTAGCAACAACATTCTCTCAATTACTATCTCTATTAAGGTACGCTTTTATTTTTTATTGAATCATTAAATATGGCATACTGGGATAATAGTTAAAGAAATTTGAGCAATATTTAATGTAAAAAATTTGTCGTGAAAAATTTTTTCTTTTTTAATTTCTGCAACACAAAAAAAGCTCGCTAGCATTTGCAATATTTTCTCAAATAATCTTAATAAAAATTTATTGAAGATATTTGCAATTTGAAGGAACAAGAATTTGCCACCCACCCATACTTGCATAATTTGTTGAAGAAGTGATCATTTAGAAAAATGATGAAAAGTGACAGAGGAAGACAGGTCAATTATAATAACAGAAAAGATAGCCAATGATTCATGGGAAAAGGAGGAAAAAATGTATGACAACGTTGTATAGTAGTAAGGATAATCTTATAAAATATTTTTTTGTAAATTTAAAGAGATGTGCTATTTAACCATTTCACCTCATTACTTCTCTATCCATCTGTCTGGTTACTTTTTACACATAATCTGATACATTTGTTGTTAGTATCACAAACGTGATAGTTGAAATGACAAGTAACTGTTGATAAGATAGTGAAAGATATTGATATCATATATACAAAAATTCTTTCCCAACCATTCTATGCACAAGTAATGCAAATGTTTAAATTGTATTATCTCAAAATGATGTTAAAAAGTGATGATGATAATTTGAAACTGAGTGCTTCCTGTAGGAAGATGGAGGGATGGAGCGGCAGGAAAGATGAGTAGAGGAGTAAGTGAAGGGGCGCAGTTAAGTAGCATCAGCAAACCACCGTTAGGTTCAAACAAAATTTTTCAACGTATTGATTTTGTAAGTTCTCACATCTCGCCTTCACATCACAATCATTTCACAGCCAGTTTATCCTTCACCCACTTACTCTAAAAAAGTAAACAGCAATCGGCACTTTTAACAATCGTTCTTCGTAAGCAAAATTATGGTTTGTAATAAGATTTTAAGAATTTCATCCTGGAATATAAGAAATTTTAACAACTCAAAATGAGATTATTTTTAGCATTACAAACAAGAAAGTATTTTTTCCTTTATAATTTAAAAAAAGTAGATTGAATATCATTGGTTTATTTCTTCATCATTGTTGTAGAGAAGGTATAAATTTAACTCCTCGACATGAGTGTTGATAATGAAACTTCAGATTGAGTAATCGAAATGGTAAAATGAAATAGCAAATGGTTTTAACTGTCTTTTTCGTAGATGGCTTACTTGATGGTATAGACTAGGCTGAAAGTTGTATTCCAAGCCAGAACTATTGCTTAAAACGGAGGCAATGATATATGCATCAGTGACTCTCAGAAGTATTTCAGCAATCAGTCGAAAACAAAATGATCTAAATAACAAACGCGACCTGTTCAATTTTTTTTTCTATTCATGAGATAGAGCTCCTTAAGTTGAAATCGAGTTATTTGAAAAATACGAATTAATCAGATGTATCATCAGAAATGAACGAATGGTAGAATGTTCATATGTTCGAAATCTTGTGCTCAATGCGTCAGTGACAGATGATCGTAAATGCAAGAATACATTCTGAATGGATGAGTGGAGATATATGTTATGTATTTGTGAATTGAATGGATGATAATAATCAATCTAACTCTTCTTGTTCCTACAGAGATACATATTTTGCAGTCATCAACGTCCTGCTCAAATGATTTTCTCTGAATCAAATAATGTGCAACGAATAATGACAATCCGAAATCAAAGAAAACTGTAAAAATGAAAATTTTCTTTATTCTCTTCTTGAAATAGGAAAAAAAAGGGGAAGAAATGATAGATAAAGAAATTAATTGAAAGGGTAAGGAGGAAACGATGTCAACGTCAGGATACAACACCAAAACTCCATAATAGCAAAATTAAAGGATAAAAGTGAAGGCGATAAACCAGTTTTTTTTTTCCGGTAGTCGATAGTGAATTGTAGGAAATCTGTTCTATTATGGATGAGATTTACGGCTACAAATACTGGACATCGTATATGTCATTGATGATCCTGTGATTATTAAGCTGTAATTAGGTCAATACGAGGATGTATTTATTCACGCTTCGCTTATAAATTATTTCTTGAATGCTCGGATTATTTGATTGTTGTTGTCGTTTTTCTTTTTCCGGAAACAAATATCTTCTATCGTAAAAACAAAAAAAAGAAGAGGAAAATACCAATGAAATTTGTGCGAATTGTATTTTAAAATTATTTTAACTGTTCAATAGTTTAATGCCACAGTTTTTTTAGCATACAGGTTTTGATTTGAAGCTCCATTTATCAAAAACGGCAGCTTCCCACATAACCAGACATGTCTGTAAATATTTTTCTCGAGTTATTTTTGCATTTTTTATACTTGCAAAACTTTTAAAAGTGCACACATAAATGAATGTTCTTATAAATCAAATGATTAAAATTATGGAAGTTACACGAAAATTAAAATTAAAAAAACCTTCTTCTTAAGGCATTTATTATGTTTTGCAGTTTTACGATATCAGTCATCTATAAAAAATATAAAATCATAGGAAATGAATTTAATTTATAACAGTAGTAATAATTAATTTTGCACAACAAGCATTTATTTATTTTATAAATTAACTTTGTCGAATTAGTTTTGAAGGCATTTGGCGGAGGAGTAAGTGTAGAAGACTCTGTCACCATATAAGCTTCAATAATTGATTCATTTTAGAATTGTCAAAGCTGACAATAACAGCTTATAACAGAAAAAATGTTTTGTCTTCTATTTCAATAAAAATTTTTCTACAAATTTTCTAATTTTTTGCATGTATTTTTGAATTTTTCGAGTATTCCAATAAAATAGCAAACAACATATTCTGCCGATCTTTTTTTTATGTGAATTATATTCTGAACGTATGAAAGTAAATTGCAAACATTTTTTTAGTTCTTTTATTGAAATATATTAAAAATATTGCTTCATTTTAAATAAAGCTTTTCGAATATCTTCGTCTGGCAAAATTCCTCAGCTCACGACGAATACTACGTGGGAAATTTTTGGCAATCTGAAAAACAATTTTTAATTATTTTGCTTGTAGCAAAATATTAATTTGTCTTTTTTGATACACCTGAACTTATAACTTCTTCCTCATGGAACACTGAGCCAATGAATTTCCTATAAAGTATAGAAAAATCCGTGTATAATAGAATCCATGGTTTTTCACACTATGAATTTTGCAAAAAATTTTGAAAGAACCCTGGAACAGATAAATATATATTGTGATGTTAGTTTCCTAACAACCTGGCCCGTCCTATCTATGATCATCAATACTTTTCATTACGAGAAAAAATTTTTTTTTCTTTTGGTTCTGAAAAAATGAATGAGTGCATAAATCAAATCTATTTTCACAAAAAATTCTATATGAACAACAAACGTAATGTTCAGAGTAATTCACCTACCCCAAACTGTTCATTAGGCTCTGCGTAAGCTAGAATATTCAGTGCTTTTCGTGCTTCATCCGACATTTGTCGTATATGAAATAACAACTGTCTTTGGCAGCGTCGGCGTTCTCTCATATATCGGTTGTATGCAGTAAGCTGTTTTGTAGTTAGCAATGATACAGCGAGCAGATGAATCTGAAATTATAAAAGGTCTTTGGGATGATTTGAGGCTTCTTAATTAATACATTTTAAAAAATGAATTATGTTACCATTAAACGCATATAAAAGCGTTTCTAAAAACAAGACAATATGTATTCGTTACTAACATTCCTTCAATTATTAATTAGTTGTTGAAATTATTGTTTATTATTTTACTGCCTACTTTGGATCTGTAATATGTTTGTTATTCATAACTCTTCAGTGACTTCATAGGATTTCCTTACCATCTCCTCGCGTAAGCCCTCGGATGGAATGTCTGGATCGTTCCATACTTTCGTGAAACTATTGATAACATCTTCATTTGCATCTTTTAAAAATTCCGGGAGTTCAAAAATTTCCGAAATCTGCAAATTTTCTTGTTATACTGATTGCTGGAAATATTCGGTGGACAATCAACGTTACAGATTAAGAAACATTACAGGCACTTCATCGTAAACAGCTTCATCTTCTAAAGTTGGAGGAAGGTTGCTAGTTGAATTATATCCGTAACGACTGTTGTATATTTCTGAATTTACTGAAATAATTACATTTTTTTTCATGTATTCTCTATACTGAAAAGATTTTTCTTAAAACGAAGAATACAATCTTAAAGAGAGAACGAAGTGAAGATTAACTTTTCAGTAGGGTTTTTCAATTGATAAATATCATCGGTATTGGTGCTTCAGAATTCATCAACTGTTTTGTTTCGATAGGTTTGCGATGGAATAGAGACGGAATGCAATGAAAGAAAAATGCGCATGCTTTCTTGTCCTCTATTAACAGTACGAAATTAACCTTTCTGTCGATATTTCGCAGGAAAAGTATTAACGGTTGTTAGGATAACATCAGTAGCAATCTGCTCTGCAACGCAGCTTTTTCCGGATTTGTAATTTTCCCTGTGCATTTGCATTGTTACCACTTCAACAAACATGAACAGTTAAAACATGAGGATTTCAACCGGAAAATTGATTTTCGTACTTAAAACTGAAAGGAAATGGTAGATATCTTCTTTTATGATGTTTCTAAGAACGAATTCCCTCCTGGTCTTTCCAGAATATCTCAAATCTTCCTCCAGTTTTCTAGACCTCTCATTGGTAAATAAAAAAAGATTTTGCTTTCAGTTGTATTCTAAGGCATACCAGATACTTCGCAGTTTTTCCTTTACAAGACCAGGCGCCTGATTATACTCAGGAGGTAATCGGCATGGACGTGGTACCTGAACGTCAACCAATGAAACTAATGAAATCTTGCAAAAAATTAAAATAAAATAAAAGGATGTTTTTCGATCAATTAGATTATACGAAACATTCAAATATAGTTTTAAAAACATCATTGGAAAAACACATCCGATAAGATTAAAAAAGGTAAAACAAAAAAGTTATGAAAAAATCAAAAAACTAACACTTACCGCTACACTTTGATGTAATATCCCAAGTACAAGATAATATAAAACGTATAGAAATATCCACATCTAAACATTAAATTATCCTTACAAGTTTACACGTATACCCAAATTTAGTATTATAAATACTTTTTTTTTTCATATAAGAAGAGATAATGTATTATCAATTGTCAAGTTTTAATTCATCAGCTGGTTATTCCTCACATTCATTATATCAACAATTAACATTTTCCTATTAAATTAGCTGTTAAAACTCTGTGATCTAATAATCAATAATTATTTATTACTAAATCTGAATAATTAAAACAGTAGTTTTCGAATATTCAAGAAGGTAAAAATACATAGCCAAAAGAAGTATAATTCGAACATCCCAATGCACATTTTATTTCAACCAAAACTGCTGAGGTTTAAAGAAGGCAATGTGCGCCCACTTCTTATTAAAGAAAAAGTCAAGGTGGACTACTCCACCAAAATCCAGTTTTTTTCATGGAAAATATGGATGTGTAATAGATGAAACGACACAATCACATTATCTCCTATACAAACATTAACTTCCGAACAAAAGAACTATCTACTTCTCCTTCTGGGCTTAAAATAATTTCTTGAAAATTCCCTCAAAGCAATTATCAATACTGCACCGACAGAAACCCGTTTCGCAACCCACAAAATTATTCTGACCACTTGTGAATTATCGCATCTTTTCCTTCTCATCACTTAAGATCTTGGTTCTTCAACCACAATAAGAAACTTTTCGAATCCAACCTGCAGCACCATCAGACGATTAGAGAGCAACATTTTTTTAAATTGTCAATTGGTCATGATACTGTACCTTAGCCAGTATACAGTATAATTTCATTAGTTTATTAGTGAACATAAGTGAACATGTAAATAAACAAATCGAATTAAATTTAGCCAAATGCAATAAAATAAACATTCCCTAATTCCCATAAAAACATAGGATATTTATGAAACAATTATTTCTTCCTTCTTAGCACCATCATTAGTATCACTGTTAATGTCACCTTCATTAATATCACCATTATCACTGTCTTCCTCATCATGGTTAATGTCATTGTCATCGTTATCATCACTAGTACCACTGTTTTCGTCATCATGAACGTCAATATCTCCGACATCATGATTAACGTCATTGTCTCCGTCATCATAACTACCGTTCTTGTTTTCATAATCATAAATACCGTTCTTGTCTCCATCACCATGATCACCGTCATTCTCTTTGTCATTACGCTCAGCCTTATTGTTCTTGTCATCATGATTAACATTATCATCTTTGTTATCATGCTTAGTGTCCCTCTCCTTGCCATCATGATTAACGTCATCACTATCCCCGGCGTCATCAGATTCTTTTTGACCGTAATTAATATCTTTGAACTTTTCGCCTTTATTATGTCTGCAATGAATATATAGGCATAAATAAAATGAACACTACTTTTCCAAATTTATCTTACCTTTTAGAATCGTTTGCCTTCCCGTGAATTCCACGAGACTGACGTCCGTAGACATGCTTTCGAGCTATAAAAGAAGGTTTTATTTACCTAACGTTGATAAAGACAATGTGGATTATTCAATATGGAACCCTAGTAAATTTTTTTTACCTGAAACACTGCACAGCTTTGTTTCGCTGGTTGGATAGCCACATTTCGGGCATGGTAAATCTTTCAGATCTCGGTTATATTTAAAACCCTTTCTGCGAACATGGTCATCACAGCAGCAAATTTTACATCGCAAGCATGTGTACATGCCAAAACGATTGCATGACATACCTAAAAAGTACCTGTCTGACAAGAATTTCGAGAATTTCCCTTCGAAATGTTCATATTTTTATTATGAAAACTTCACCTAAATAGTAATAAACCATGAAGTTTCTTAATGATTAATTTATCATAATGGAATTTAAAAAGTTGTGTATACTAACATTTGAAACTTTCACTGCCAAGATATTGACAGCTCGACTGATGTTCAAATTGATCATCTTCGCACAAAAAATCTTGACAAAAAGCGCAGTGATATATCCGCCCACCTTAAACTTATCAAAGCTGAAGAACAAAAGGAAAAAGAAACGAAAATTGAAACGTCAAGGATAAATTTCAATGCATGTCACTTCATCCTTCTTTTCTCTCCGACTCTTTCTGAAACATAATATTATAAATATCATCCAGGAGAAAGTTTCCCAAAAAGGAAAAATAACCGTGTTCCCATACACCTCGTTTACATTCTGTACATTGAGCACCACGCAGTGGACATTTACATGGATGAGTTGAAAGACATTTCTTACTGTGACAAATGAATGCTTCACAATAATAACATATTGCGCCCATCATTTGCAAACCTAAATATCAGATTTGCTTTTACAGATGTCGCAGTATGTGAATATTTATCATGCAATAATTAATGTGCAGTTGATCTAATATGGATCATTTCATTTATTTCGAATATAAATACATGAATACGCAAAACATCTCATTTTCATTTCACATTTCACTACTATCCATGTGGACTGATAACATGGGGGATTTGGTGATCCTAATGACATATTCACATAAATATCACCAATTACTCAATAAGCGAACTTGTGGAGGTATATGTAAAGGTCACTTCGATACATTTTTTTGACTTTCGATTATTTGATTTTATTTTGATGAATCTAAATGTTTCATGTGCTTTCCTCTTTGTATCCATTAAGATTCCGTAAACCACTTTAATAATCCTTACGCATTGTATTAAAAAGCCTTTCGAATGTTCCAAATCTTAAAAAAATGATCTCTTACATCTATTATCGCAGATAAATACAAATATGTTGCGTTACAGCAAGCTGTCCCAACAATTCTATTAAGAACAACTTAATATGCAAAAACCAAAAGCAAACCGATTGCACATTTCCCGGTATGTTTGACAATACAATCTCCGCTTTTCACTAAACATTTCTGTTTACCACAAGCTGCACACATTGGTGCTTTATTAATTGTATTACAGAAATAGCAAAATGCTCGAATCTTCTGCTCTCGAGTGCAATGATCACATTGCTGAAAGTAAAATTTGGAATATAAAAAGTTGATTAGTGATCCAATATCGTTTATTGGGAATCTTCGCACTTCGGATGGGAAAAGTACAGGTTCATGGCAGTTAATACAAAAATAGTCAGATATCATTTAAAAAATAAAAAAAACTGCTAAAATCTCGCGACTGGAACATGCTGCTTGATCAGATCACGACACAATAAGAAAACCACTCAATAAATTGGTAGAAAACAAGAAATTCAAATAAATTTCGGTATTTTCTTCTAATTGAGAGCTAATCCTATAGCTATGGCTAAATTTTCAATAAAGAGGAAAAACAGAAAGTACTAATAAAATAAGGACGTGCCATCAATCCATTGCATGCATGATGTGCAATCTCTTTTATAACATTGCTCCGGATTTTCTTCTGGATTTCCCGTTGTTTTTCAGCCTTTTTCCGTGCACCTGTCTTCTTTTTCGGCATATTGACGTAGTCGCTTAATGGGAAATAAGCAGACGAAGAATTAGCGTAATTCTTCCGTATATGTCAACAAACAATCGCACCGCACCAAGCACTACGCACCACGCACCACGTAACCAATTTGGAAAGTGAGACAGTAATCCTCACCTCATTACTTATATAGTGTTTTCTTTTTTTCATCTAGAATCGAGACTTGCTTGATATGAACGACTCATTTGCATTTTGAAAATGTTTGTAATAAGCGGAGTGTGATGGGTCTCGAAGGGAATGAGATCTTTTCAAAATTATTCTCAAAAATCCATTCAACACTTGCAGCTAAAATGGTTCAGAATTGGGCAGAAATAGAAATAAGCTTTATTTTACAAATGCGATAAAACCCAAGACATAAAATAACCATTCGTACTGAAATAGATCACAATACGCCACTTCAAAGTGATTTTGATCACATTAAGTTTTAGCTAAAAACAACAGAAAAAAGACAAAGTTATAGCTAAGAAAATTAGTTAGTGCAAAAAATGCGTTACACATTAAACTATTTTCCTTATTCCAGAATCCTGATGACTTTTCGACTGCGCGAATTTAAACTACGAAAACTACGAAAGACCTCAACCTCTCGTGGATTTAATTTCCGTCAGAACAGCTTAGCACATTTGCTACGAAAGACCTCAACCTCTCGTGGATTTAATTTCCGTCAGAACAGCTTAGCACATTTCAAAACAACATTTCTTTTAATAGAGAACAACAGCAAAGCACTTTCTAATGATCACTAAGCGATATCACATTAGCAGGCAGTGAATGGGAATAAGATGGTAGTTACTGCAAAGTGATAATTTTGATAAAATCTTCGATAACGCATCAAATACTATAAGTACAGCCAAGTCGTTGCAACTTGATTAACCCAAATATTGAAAATATGATCAGTCACGTTTTGATAATAACAAGAAATCTTGACTGAAAGTTATTTGAAGTCACAACTGAAGGTGGAATTCTGCAACTGATGGAGAAAATCACTGAGACTATCAAGTGTAATACAAGTCTGACTAAACTGGGTACTTGAGGCGATCACCTGTGCGCCCAGATATGCTGCGTTGTACCTCCATGGTGAAAGATGGACCTGAAAAATATGAAAAAAGATTTGTGAAATTTTATTTATAGGAGAACTTATTAATGCTACTAATGCTATGATTTAAATTTGATAAAGCAGGAATGAAACAAAGTAAATCGCAAAAGTTGCAATGCTGCAACAAAGACAATGGAGGAAAAACTGATCCACACTCAGTAGTGGAGGTTTCACGATCACATTTTAATAAATGGAATATATTAGGATGGGCAGGAATTGCAACGGATAAAAAAAGCAAACTCTGTGTGTGTTCAACAATATTCTTCAGTAAGAAGTCACCTCCATAATTTCCTTTCCGAGTATGGAAAAATCTTAAATTCAAACATAAATGTGTTTGAAGCATCAACTGCAATTGGCTGCCGGTTTCGATTTGTGAAAGCAATAACAGATTGCATGTGATATACGGACGTTTTGACTATGCTACAAAAGTGTTAAAGCACTACCTGCGTGTGTATAATTGGTGCCACAAGTGATGCCACTTCTATTTCCAATCTTTCGGCCAAACCAGGAAGTAAAGAGACGCCACCAGCTAGGTATATATTCCTAAAAAATTGAAATTAAAGTGCAAATTTCTGATGGAAATATCAAAGCTGAATACCAGAAGTTTAAGATTAATATGTGTAAGAAGCTGATGAGATGCTACAATAACAAGTTTACCTGAACAAAGTTTTTCTACTGTCAATAGGTGATGATTGCACGGCTTCAAATACCAGCTGATGGAGAGCTTTCGTATCAAGACCCCATCTTTTCGGTTTAAATAAACCCTCAGTTGCAGTAAAGCGAGCAGAATTTATCTGAAATGAAGCTTCATTTCGCACAGATCAAAATGTTTCAACTGATGACTAGTCACAAGTCGGAAGCATACAATGATAACATACCTTGAACGTTGGCATCATTTCACTGGTTGGTTCAAATTCTTCAATCGAAACGACTACATCTATATCGCAACTGTTACTCGCACATTTTTTAACTTCTTCCTCATAGTCAATAGCAACAAAACATGCCTTAAATATAAAACCATTCACACATTTTTACGTAGCACGCATTCTCAATAGCTCAGTACTTATGAAATTTAGGAGAGCAAAGAATAAAATACCTGCTCCATAACAAAGCGTGAAATGAACATTTCAACTGATGATTGAAAAGTATAACTACCACAATTTGATTCCATAAGTTTTGCTTGCAAAGCATTAATAATTTGAGTAGCGCCACACGGCAATGACACAATTGCACTATCAACAACATAACCTGCAAAAATGCACGACTTTCACTAATATGTTGTTCACTGGTTGAACAACATATTCACTCACTGGTTGTACCATTACGTCTTTCATATAAAAATGATAACTATAGGGATGCACACAACTATGAATGTTAAACATTTCTTATATCATACCTTGCAACTAAGTTTGAGAATTCACTCCATTAAAACAATAAAATCACGTAAAATGTCTTTTAAATTAACTATTTCCACACTCACACCTCGAGTTTTAAAGATTTTTTCCTTACTTTTAATGATTAACTAATATTGGTTCCTTCAGTACCGCCCCTGCAAAATCAAATTGTGCTATATGATAATTGTGACTTCGGGTTAGAAACAATCCACTGTTAAGGGATACAAATTACCAATTGAGAAGTATTTTATTTCGAGAAATTACGAAACGAAACACAGTCAAAGATTAACATGATTTCATTCTCAAAAAAACATTATGATCAGAACATACCGTCTATTACTGGCACAATATTGACACAATCGCCGATATCAACGACAACACCAGTAGCTACGTCGTAGGCATATAATACAAGGCTTGGTTGACGTGATATTGCTGCACCCTTGAACAAAAGAATTTTACGACTTTTAAGTGTAAGGAAAAACAAATGCGTGGAAAATAAATACTGAATGGAAAACTTAAGGTACTTGACGAACCTGGAAAAACATTTCTTCCAAAACAATTTTCAACAAATCCGCAATGAGAGCAGTAGGAATATTTTGCGGGATTGAGAGCAAAACCTTAAAAACTTATATTCCATTAAGTGTTTACTGGCATGATCTAATAAACACCAGTTGGCAACGGAAAGAATAATAACAAGACTCAATAACAAAAATAAGCATACATAAAGAGACAAGTTATAGCTGCTTCTATAATTGAGTTACTAACATTTGTAACAATTTATTTCTAAGAATGCATCTTTTTTCATATGGTGCTAAAGAAAAGATCCAATTACCCGATACTTAGTCGGATCGATCTTCAAATCATCGACACATTTTTGCAAACAAGCTTTCAAAGCTGGTCGGTGAAATACATATCGTTCCAGTGAAATATCCGTCGCGCGTAGTGGCCTTATCAGCTCACCCTTGCGACGATTCTGAAATTTCATTATTCTACTTGCAGTGTATTGAAATTCTGACTGCCTTTCTACATCCAGGAAAAGCACTATAATTTGTAATTTTATTAATTTTTTTGTAAAATACCCTTCAATCTGACAACAATAATATTATGAGTATGATAAGCACTATTATTTCCAACCAATTATCTCAAAACATTTTAAAGTGCTTCATTTCACATAGAAGAATGGAATCATATAATCCAAAAAATCTCGGAAAAACTAACAAACCTCAGGCAGCAATGCATCACCACCAACAATGAATTCACCATCATCTTTAACAAGGACTACTGTTGGGAAAAACGACTGCGGTAGCGAAGGTTCCATTGTCAGTACACCAGCTCGCATTGAACATGATCCTAGCTCGATAATAGCAACTTTCTGCAGTAAGTGCATGCTGCATAAAGTATAAACGAAATATGAAGTTTCTTTATAAAGTTGGTTCACATCAATCACAAAATTGAATAGACAAAGACGTCATGAGAACGGGGAGAAATTAATATTCACTCAGGTAATACTGATAAAGTGAATAATTTTCAAACCGAAATGAAAGAATATTTGAAGTTATTTCTTCATCTTACGGCAATATTTGAGACCTTTCCCTCTTATGAAATAAGCAGCATACGAAAGATAAAAATGATTCACAATATTAATACAAATTTGCAGTTTTCGCTTTTCTCTACGTTTTATGGGCAAAGAGATGAAATTTCAAGTTTACCTTTAGTCTAATGCAAATATCGATTCAGTGAAATAAGATATTCGAAGCATTACAGTACGAATATGCCTAGGCAATGAATGGAAAAAAATGACAAGACGAATGCATAAAAGAAAAAAATGGAAGAATTAAAAAAGTTAGAATAAAAAAACAGTTCAAAAAATGCACTTCGCTTAGGGGGATTTCCCATTTTCTATGGCTCATTATTTGTATGAATAATAATCACTACAATATTTTCATGAATAACCTCGGTGATATGAGGCAGTGGAGGATAAACAGGATTAACGAATGTATCAAGATACGATGAAGCCGCATGACTGTTCATAGCTTTTCTCCATTTATCAAATACATTGACTCCTGGCGGAATCCTAAATAACCACATACATTGAACAGATAACCATAAACATGCTAAAACATGACACAATCGACGTGCTGAGGAGAAAATCTACACTTCATTGATACCAAATAATTATGAGCTAAAGAATGGAACAATTTTTTTCTGCAAAAAATTGAAATAACAGAACAGTCCTCCAATCAGAACATGAAAATGACATACATGCATGCAGTTTATCATAAACTTGTATAATCCAAAACTTACAAACGATACCTCGCATCTGTTAACAATATATTTTGACAGCAATGACAAAGCCTTAACAGTTCAAGAAACGAAAGTCTTAGAATCAACTCCAATCAATAAGTAAACTGACATGAAACTGACCTCAACACCATTCTGATATGACTCTTTCCTCCGTGTATATAAAGTGCATTTTCATCTCTATTGGC